GCAGCCTGCATCCTTTAAACATGAGCAAGTTTAACACTTAGCAAAGGTGATTCTGAAGTTGTTGGAAAGTAAAGGCTTTGGGCTTAATGGAAAGCTCAGGTGATGTGACAGGGATGGCCCCTGAATTCGAAGTCTGTCATCTGGGCCCTTGTCTCCTCTGATCCTAACCCCACCTTGGCTCAGCACTCACCCCTTCCCACCCTCGCTGATCTGCAGCAAGCAGTGAGACTTTCCTCAGCCTTTCATGCCAGGACTTTGGGGTTCTGAACCACACTCTACTTCTGGAGTTATTTTGCATTTTAAAGTGATCCAAGTCTGAAATTAAATGAAGACCTGTGATGGTGAGATTTCAGGAATTTATGGTCAGATACAGGAGATTCTGTGGAGTGTTAGGAGAGGTCAACACTTGCAAAGCTGACTTGAAAGTAGGAAAGGGTACCTGAGGAGAAGGTGGATGATATCTCACCACTTCATAGACTTCCTCAGACTCTTCGTGATATTTGGATGGAATTTTAGATCTTTCAATCTCCTTCCCTTTGTTTCCCATCTAGTTCTCCAACTTCTGAGTGGGTGAGGGAAATAGATGCCATCATCCTTTTGCCTGAGAAGGAAACAGATGAAGTGGTCCTTCAAGAATGAATGACAGGAAAGTTAGAAAAAATCGTTGAGGTGGGCAGGTATCCGCAGAAGGGAGAGAGGGAGAATGAGGATGAATATGTTTGAAGTAGTTTATTTGCACATATGAAAATAGAACAATGAAACCTGTTGAAATTGTTTAAGAAGGAGCAAGGGGTAAGGGAGAATGATAGAGGGGCAACTTTATTTTTTTTAAGTAAAAAACAAGGACTTGAACTCAGTACCTGCTGCTTTCTCTCATTGGTTAGTGTTTTACCAACTGAACTGGGTCTCAAACACCTAGGAGTGTGATTTTAATTGGAATACAGTGTATGATGTGTGAAAATGTCACAATGAAACAAACCTCCCTTGTATAACTAAAAAAAACTAATAAAAAATTAATAAAAATATCATTTTTCAAAAGCAGGCAAAAAAATCAAGAGGACCCAGACCCTGATGGCTCATGCTTATAATCCTAACTACTCAAGATGCTGAGATCTGACGATCACATTTCAAAGCCAGGAGGATTTGTTTCATTTTGTTTTGTTTTTTTGTCAGTTGTAGGGCGTGAAATCTGAGCCTGGGCGCTGTCCCTGAGCTCTTCAGCTCAAGGCGAGCTCTCTACCACTTGAGCTAAAGTGCCACTAGCCAACAGGATTTGAAATCTTTATCTCCAATTAACCACCAAAAAGCCAGAAGTAGGGTTGTAGCTCAGGTGGTAGAGCACTAGCCTTAAACACAAAAGCTCAAAGTCAGTGCTCAGGCCCTGAGTTTAAGTGCCAGGATTGGCACACACTTACAAAAATCATAAGAAGGATGATCTTTTTAAAAAAATACACCAAGGTTTACAGAGTATAGAAGTATGTGTGTACAAGTGGTTTTCTCTGGTAGTAGGTTTATAAAGTTCATAAGTTTTTAACAATGAATATGCAACATCTATGTTTAAAAAGAAACATTCATTTTTTATCCCAATAAAGTTTTACTCTAATCCTGAAAAAAGAGACTGGAATCACTTGTTTCTCCCTGCTTTGAATAGAGCCTTTTCCCTACAAGCCACTTTGCACTGACGAGAGCTGTTATATAAAGGAAGCTGACATCTGTTACTTCTCATATAAAACTTATCTGCTTCCTCATATTTTATTTTCCAAAAGCCAGTCTTACAAATTGCTTTATCAGTTGCCAGGGATCAGACCATCTGCCAGAGCAAGACCTCTTCCCCCACCTCCTGCTGATAACTGGCTCTTATCAATTTGCATTTCTGTTTCCTATTCATTAGTCTGGTTGATCTCCTTATCAGATTAGGTGCTCAGCCTCACGATGGGTACCGTATTTCCCTGAGCAGAACTGTCCTGCTGTCCACTTAAAAGGCACAATTGGTGTGCCTTTCAACCCTAACTATACATATCACATATAGGACTGGACAAATTTTATGTAATTAGAATAGCAAAATTTTACTCCCCCTTTTTCAGAACAGTATACACATTATGCACATGGAGTAAATAACAAATTACACATTTTCAGAGTGAAAATGAACCATAGCAACCTGCAACATGGCTGAATCTAATCTGATGTTGACTGATAAAAGCAAATCCTAGACTATTATCATCAAGACCATTGTACTTATTCTAGATTTCGAAAACAAACTGAAATCTCAGTAATGTAGTCCTCCACCAAGACAAATATGTGCATACTCATAGTAACTCACTCCCTCTGGGCTTGGATATTAGTCGTATTTTTATTTTATTTTGGTAGAACTGGTTGCACCAGTTACTGGTTGCTCCATCCTCTCTCAGTTCCTAATGGCTAGGAATCACTACTTTTCCCTACAGGACCCTCCCTATCTTTTAAACATCTCCTCCCAACTAAAAGAGAAATAACTTAAGATTCCCCTAGACTCCACTTTTTCCCTCTAAATCTCACCCATTCTGTCAGAAAGAGGAAATAGTACCTTCTCCATAGCTCGTTCTTAAGGTAGCCTATTTTAATACATAACATTGGGTTTCTGAGATCATCCTCCTAGGTCTCTTGGTGCCATAGGTCTGTTACAGCAGCCAGTTAATGATTTTGGAATTGTCTAGTAGTGATTATGTCCTACTTCTTGAAGAAAGACTGCTGAGCCATTCCTACTCCTTCCATCTGGCATTTCTTAGATGAAGTTAGAGCAATAGGACAGACCCCCCAGAAGCTAAACCTACTGAGTGGGTCTTGGGTCAAATCTGGACTCCCATAGTGTTCTAGAATCTTGCCACTATATGCCTTCTTAGGGTAAGTTGACAGATGTATCCCCTTTCAAGTTTGCTCTTTTGTGGGAGCTTTGCTATATAGCTCAGGTTGACCTTGAACTCTTTATGTAGTACAGCTTAGCTTTTAATTTGCCATCCTCCTACTCCAGCCTCCCAAGTACCAGATTACAGGAGTGCACCATCACACCTGGCATTTCAGGCTCTTTTTACTCATTTCCTGCCTCAGTTCACCAGTCCTTACCTCCCCAAATCCTTCACTGATTACTATTACCACACACATACCTCCCTAGGGGACAATTATACACCTAATCTTGCACCACATGTACTCTCTTCATCTGACTCAGAGCACTCTGCTTTTCATTGTGAAGACTTGCATTTTAGGAAGCAAGTCCAAAGAGCTTTTTCTTTTTTCAAGATGATGTCTTAAAATGATCTCATCATAACTACTGCTTTCTCCAAACTCAGGATTTAAGAATCTTTTGGAGCTCTGAAATGTTCCCAGGCCACAGAAGATACCCATCTGCTTCTAGAATGTCCTGAGGACAAGTCAACAGAAAACAGCTTTCACTTGTAACATAAATTACTAGGATTAAAGGAAATAAAGCATTTCCTGACAATAAAGACTAAATAATTGCACATGGTAACTAAACTCATTAGACATTTTCTGTCATTAGCATACTAGAGGTCTTGATGCGATAGTCTTATAAATTATATCTTCTCTTCCATTGAATTAATTTCAAGTTCCCTTCTAAAGCCCAAATGGTAAAACAAGAATTCTCCACTCCATCTTTTGCAGCTTTTGCAAGTCTAACTTTGTCATGTTGATTCACTACTCCCATGTGCTTGCTTGCTTACTACCACACTCTTGATGCTAAAACAAGCCTGATGTTTTTTGAGGGAAATTTTCTAGGTTCCTTTTCCCATCTATATATGCACAAGCACACATGCATATACTCTTAATCATTATCCTAATTCCTTCCTTGTCTGGTGGAGACCAGGTATTCATCTTGTCTTTCAAGTGTTGCATGTATTTGAAGGCTTCAGCCTTTTGAAGATAATCTGCCCTGTTAGTAGGCATTTTTCAGGGAATGAATATTTTCAGGAAACACCATAGTTTCTAAGTCCTCAGAAGCCTTCTGGTGTTCTGGCTCTGTGGGACTTGCTTTGCTGAAGCTTCCTCACATGAGGAAAGGAATCTAGTCATGACAACCTGGAGCCCAAGAAGTTGCCCAGACCTTGTCCCAGGCAAGATGGCTCAGACTGCTCATGGGAGACTTACTCCCAAGAACTACAGAAACTGCCGTTATCAGTGACAGGGAGGTGGAACTAGGTCTTTATTTATTTTCTGGTACTAGATTGGACCCAGAGCTACTGTAAGGGTGTGTGTGTGTGTGTGTGTGTGTGTGTGTGTGTGTGTGTGTGTGTGTGTGTACATGCCAGCTTCCAAACTTAAACACGGAGCCTCTTGCTCTTTCTCAGCTTTCTTGCTCATGACATTTGAAATATGCCTCTGGTCTGGTAATTCACTGGTTATTTGGAGATGAAGCCTTTTCTTCCTAGGCTGCCTTCAAACCTCAGTCCTCTAGGATTACAGATGTGAGCCATGGACACCCAGGCAGGTCTTCATTCATTGTGGAAGTGTCTTTAAACATATACCTTCTATGGCGAAAGTGAGTTTGAATAAATGTAAAGATTTTATCGAATGGAATTTCATTTTCTCCAAAAAGAGGTTAAATTCATTTTACTTCAATGAAGAGTGATGAATGCTAGCTGGATTGGTGGGGTTTGATTTTTAGTTCAGGGACTGAAACTACTCTTTGAGGAGAATATCCATTATCTCAAAGAGAGATATTTCCTGAAATCCTCCCAAAACTGTGAGCAAGTTTAAGAATATAAACGTGTGTATAAATCCCCACCTTAAACTTTCCAGATCTCTGTTGCTGCACAGTCAGTTGATCACTGTACTGGTAAAGAAAAAGAAAAAGAAATCCCAGAAAGGCACATCTGTGATGGCCAGTCCCGGTCAGGAGAGAGTCCAAAGTTGACAGCCAGACTTTGCTGCTGTCTTGCTTCCGGCTCGGCCCCTCTTGAAGAGGTTGGGGATATAAACAAGTGGCTTCTGCCTCTTCCACGAGTCTCCAGAGCCTCACCTGGAGCAGCAGGAGCAACAGGTTCCTTGCTCCACGGTCCCGGGAGTAGGGTCCTGCGGCCGAGGAGGTGGAGGACTGAGAGAGACCAGAGCCAGCAGGGAAGAAAAGGAGCGGCTTAGCCAGAGCGAGGAGAGCGGGCGGAGAGAGAAGCGCAAACTTTTATGGGGTAAGAGCGGATGGATGGAGGGGGGTGTTGGGGCGCAGGGGGAGGGGGTGTGCTGAGCCGGGAGCACACAATCCACGCAGGAGCTGGATGGGGAAACCACCTGCAAAGGAGTGGGGTCCGGGAAGGGGGGAAAGAGCAGGGCGGGAGGCGGTGCGGGGCGCGCGGCGCTGTCCTCAGCCCTGGGTGCTGAAACAGGCCGCGGAGAGCGCAGAGAAGCCAGGGCGGCTCTGGGCCCCTGCCCTCATGGGGGGGGGCACCCCGCGCCCCTCCAGCGCGTTTTACCGGTCAGGGTGCCGTCTTCTGTGCGCTGGCCGTCGGGGCGGGAAGCAGAAGGAGCTGGGCTGGCTAAACTGGGGCCAGTGTAGAGTCCTTCCCCCCACCCCAGCGCCTGACACGCCCCAAGCCCCAAGCCGAGCCTCCGCTGCTCTGGCTCCCGCCTGGGCCCCCCTAAGCCCCCTGCTTCTTCACTTTGGGCAAGGTAGGGGTGCAGAGTCGCCCGGACAACTGGAGGGGCCACCATGGAGCAGTGGGTGAAGGATGCAGGGCTGCCTCCGCCAGACCTACTCAGTCTAGGGACCCAGAGAAACCAGATGGACTGAGAGGAAGCTGCCAGGAATGAAAAGTTTGGAGGAGTGGACATTATTTTCGTTTTCAATGATAAAGTCAAACCCCAGTCTTGGCTGTCCCGAGCCTCCGGGCTTACTTGGTAGTATTAACGGGCCTCTGATCCTTGCCAATCCACTAATTGGATGAAGGTTCCCTGCTTTCTGTCCCTAGGCTTTGCTCAACAAGCCAGCTAGCAGCACCCCCACCCAAACTGCTAAGGCCCACAACGTATCCTTGTGCTCTGGCCACCCTGAGCTGGCACTGGTGCGCTGGAGAGAGGGGAGGGCTGTTTCTTTTATTTCTCCCTTGTAAGCTCCCTACCTTATGCTTTTGTTGGGACTTTAAACTTCATAACTCCCAAGCAGGTCTCTGGCTACAGGTTCACTGTGGCCAGGAGTAGGGGGGCAGGCTCAAGCCTGTCCTTGAAGGTGAAACTATAGCTCAGATGTGCAAATAGCTTGCTCCAGATCTTCCCGCGGCTCCGCCCCCAAATCTGTAGAGAACCTACCCCATGGGCAGCACTCATCAAACATTTCATTGGAGTGAAGCCAGAAGGTGAAGTCTGTCCCTGGTACTTCAAACCCTTGGGAAATAGCCTGTTACCTGGCTCATACACCATCCCATAATGGACCTCTCAGACTGCCCCCATATCCTCTACTGGTAATCTAACCCCACCTCCTCCACACATACTTTCATTCATAAACCAAGCAATAATATGGTTGTCTGAGCATAGAGTGACCATGTGCAGTGTAGTCTGGCACAAATCACCATTTACATCCCCTTCAGTGAAACCTGGAGGGGAAAGGGGTCCATAGAATATTGGACAAGGAGTGTGGAAGGAATCCACTTGGTCAGGCTGTCCCAAATCCAGTCTTCTATGCTGATAATCTCTGAGGAGAATTGGTTGGGATTTCATCAAGCTGATGAGTGTCCTTGTAGGATGGGTGGAGGTAACACCCACCCACCAATGGCTAGGTACACATTTCCTCTTCAGCCTCTATTCTATTCTGTGGCTTCTACTTGGATGCATATGCCTGGAGGGAGCAGGTGAATGACAGCTTTCTAGTACTAACTAGTCAGCAGAGGATCTCAAAACACTTTCTCTGGGTCTTTGTTCAGAACTGCCTGCGCCTTCGATGCTGTTGCCTTTGTTGTTTTCATTCACTCTCTGCCAGCAGTTGATGCATCTGGATAATAATAAGGTTACTATGGTGACCGATCTCCTGTCACTATGGCACCCAGAAGGTAGCACTGGAAGCTGCACAGGCACTTCTTTAGTTCTGGAAGATAGCTCCGGCCACAGTTTTCCTTCAGGGGTGGGGAAAGGATAACAACAATAGTTTCCAGAACTCTTATCTGTCCCTGTTCTTCCTCATCTGTCTTCTCAGGTCTTATTCACTTGCCACCAAGCACCCAAGACTTCAAGGTTGAGACAAATCCAACTTTTTTCTCTCTCCCCAATTACATTCACTGTGGCCAGGGGATAAATAGTTTTTCCCTCTGGTCTAATTCTTTTCAGTTAAGCAGTGTAAGGCAAATTCCAGTGGAAGAAACAGAATTCAATCCATTAAACAGACACAGACCCTGCCTTCTGGGATCTTGCTGCACAGTGTGGGAGACAAAATCTTACATCACTTGTGATCCAGCCTATTCTTGGGGCTGAAGAGGAAGGAATAGCAGTCCTGAAAGTGGAGTAAAGTGAAGACTAGATCCTGGTGAAGAACGGACTCCCAGGAAAGGACATTACTACTTGAATTGGGATATTGGAATTAATACTTGAATTGGCAAGGAAGAGGGAAAAGATCTTCCATGGTAGAAATATCAGCAGAAGTAAAGGTGTGAGAGTTAGTCAGGAGAAGACAGGTCCCACTGAGGTACACTGAGGTAGCACACTAGAACATTCAATGGCTTAGCCCATCACCTATGCAATATCCGAGGTTATAAAGTTTGGGGGTCCAGCATCATGAGAGAAGCCCAGTGTCCAGAGCCTGTCCCTTAGCTTTGCTCTGGCCTGAAACAGAGGTTTAGAAATACAGGAAGCATAGGATGAGATTTAATGTGCACTGTCTCTGCCAATAGATGACAGAAGAAAATTCATGATCCATGTAAAAGACAGAATGAGAGATTTGGCTTAGATAGAACATTCAGTTTAACCTGACTTGATCCAAGTTATGGAAAGTCTTGGATGTCAACCTAAGAAATGGGGACTTTCTGCTGGAAAAAAATAAGCAAACCCAATGTTCTTTTCACAAAGGTGACATGAATAGAAGTGTCTTTTAGAAAGACTCAGGGATCACTCTGGGAGGTTCACTAATTCACTCATTTATTCATTCCACACATACTTAGCATCTCTAAGTGTCAGACACTGGATAGATTGCAGGAGGAAAGGACTGAAGATGGGAAATAAGCAAAGATGAATAGTTCAACAATCCCAGGGAGAAGAACAAGGACCAAGATAAAGGTGAAGGCATAGACAAAAAGCACCAGCAGTTTCCCCATCTGATTCCTCACTAAATACTCAGTAGCTAACTGAATTCTTGGCACCTTGTTAGGGTTTAGTTCATTTCTGAATTAATGAGTAAGAGGAAGAGAACAGAAGGAACTCTTCAGTTAGTACTGAAACTATTAGGACTTGGTGATGTTGGATCTATCTAGGGAAGTAAAGTGGAATTAAAGTTCATGAAGAGTCTTAACTCAGTGGTCAGTTGGTTTCAGGTATCATTTATGAATCAACCAAGACAGGGTGGGGGATAGGAAAAGCATGTTTGGGAGTACTTCAAAAAGATAGAGTGACATTCAGGATAGGTTTGCTCCAAGGAAACCTTTTTCCTGGATATACTGCACCCCTCATAGGACCCACACCTCTGGACCTTGTGGAATCCCAAGGTACTGCTGTCCTCCTTTTCAGGATTCACACACTTTACCCTGAATGCAATGTAGGAGTTAAACAGGCTTTCTAGTTCTAACACTGGGTGCCTTTAAACAAGTCATACAATAATTTCTGAATCACATCTTCTTTATAGATAAATTAGAAGTTATAGTTACAAGGCCTTACAAGGTTATTAGGAGATTAAGGTAACTGAAGTGAATTCCTTCTTACAGTGCCTGACTGATGGCAAGTGCACAAAGTTAGATATGACCATCTTATTATTTTCTATCATGCCAATGCATTACTGTTATAATCACACCTAGAAAAGTTAATTGAGGGAAAAAAATCTACCTTACCTTCTATGTCTACAACTAGGCTTGGTAAAGTAGGTCCCTGAACGTGGAACAAAGATCCCTCACCTGACCTTGCTGAACTATGGTGTTGAAATAAGACAGGCAGCTCTGGAAAGAACATGTATGGGACTGGCTACAAAGATTTGGATTCCTTAGTTCTGGCAACATCTAGAAAGCCCTTCTATCCCCTTGAAATCTCAAACAGCTGAAGCTTATTACAAAGCATTAATCTCCAAACTGAGCATACTCAGACCTGAGGAATCCAGAGTCCTATTAATCCTAGGCATCCTTGTAGAAGGTTGAGACACTTTCTAGGCGTCTGAGCTCCTTTGTTGAGTAATGTGATAGTTAATCTCCTTCCAATTTCAGTGCATTCTCTCTCATTCCAAATCTCTTTCTGTTCTTGAGAACAGTGTCCTCAAGTTCAAAGTTTCAGAAGCTGAAACTTTGCAGATGACATTTGGAAACCTCTGTTTGCTTGTTTCTCAAACTGCCTGAAGTTAGAACAAGAAGAATTCTGTCTCTCAGCCATGAGATGATTTCTTGGGGGAAACACCTCAACTCTCCTAACTCAGATTCATTCTCCTCATCTTAGTGCAGGAATATTGTTAGGTGTGAGATGGTCTATGTCCACTCCTCAGAAAGGGAGAAAAGAATTCTGACTCTCATCCTCCTCACTCCCATCCCTGCCACTTCAGCCCTGGGCAAAGCTGAATATACTCCCATTATCTAAGACCTGAGATGCCCTTGGGACCTTTCTTAGGCAGGTCTGGGAAGCTGTGATACTTACTAGTCACAGAAATTGACCTTGTTTGGAAGGGCAGGGAATTAAGCCTGCAGGCTCTACAGTTGAATTAATCCTGTCTAATTAGATGGCCCTGGCTGTGTGAACTCTGTACTTCAGTTTTGCTCATCTGTAAAGTAAGAATGGTAATGGCATCTCTTTACAGGGCTTTATGAGGAATAAATGAGCTGATATAAGTGAATATTGTATAATAAGTCATGTCATAGTGGACATCCTCAAAAAATGCCATAATGATTATAACAATGATGATGGTAGATGGTAAGATGAAGCTGCCTCTTGACATTTCCCTATTGGGTTTATATTTTGCCAGTTAGAGCAGATGTTTGCATTTCAAGGTGTTTTAATTTTATATTAAACACTACTTCTTTTTAAGTATATAGTTCACATGCCACAGAAGGCATACATGGCAAGTATACTGCTTTTTAAAAATTCTATTCACAGTTTTATATCCATCACCACAATAAAAGTTAGAACTTTTAAATACTCCACCAAAGAAAACCATGTACCTGTTAGCATCCTTCCCTTTCATATTGTCCCTACTCCTGCCAGACAACTCTTATCTTGGTGGATTTGCCTATTCTTCAATTTTTATATAAGTGAAATCATGTGGCCTTCGATGTCTGGTTTCTTCTACTTGGTGTGTTGTTTCCAGTGTTCCACACCATAGCATGAATCACCATTTTACTTTTGTTGTTGTTGTTGTTAGGAGATGACATTCCAGTACTTGAATAAGCCATAATTAGATCCCATCTATGGACAAGAGATCTTTCCTCATTTATTTATTGCTTCTTAAAGACCAGTCTTTATATCTTTCAAGTATATCCTTCATGTTCATAGTCCTTGGGGACATTGAGGGGAAAGGCTCAGGTTGCATTTAGTCATATGGCAAAGAAAATGAACATTGTCTAAAACAATGTGTTCTTAGATCTCTGATCAAATCCTGGAAAACAAACTCATTTGAGAGATGCTCACAAACTACTCCTGGATTTGTTCCAGTAATCCATTTCAAGGTCACTTTCCTAGCTGGCAGAAAATAAAGTTATGTCTGTGCATTTCTAGTCTCCTGCCATGGATATGGTAAACAGCAAAACAAAACAAAGCAAACCACAGGAGAGATTTCAGAGTGAGACAGATCCAAGCCTCCCTTTCCTCATTTGCAAAATCAGCATTGCTCCTGCCTCTTAGAGCTCCTGAGGATTAACAGCAAAAAGACTTGGCAGTCCTTCACACTGGGGGGCTCTGGCTGTATGGTAGTTTTCATTTTCTTCAGAGCCACTGTGAAATCACTGGCTGTGTTTTCGTGGTTTCCTGGGTGAGTTCTCCTACAGTTTATCAGAATCAGGAGATGAGCAAACATGTAGGGCCACTACATATTCTCTTCAGATGTCTTGGCTTAAAAATATAAATACATGAATAAAGGGAAAAAATTAAGTATTTGTTTTACCTTCCTACCACTGATCCACCAAGTAACAAATGACATGACACTTTCTCTTTTAAGATTATCTTAGCTAACTGAATGAATAGCAAAATTCACCAGCTTACAAACTCTAATAAATTGATGTACATCATGCAAAGAAATACAGACATTATGGGCTGGGTTTTTTGTGGGGGGTTTTGGGGGGGGCATTTTTTTTGCCTGACCTAGGCTTAAACTCAGGGCCTGGGCGCTTCCTGTCCCTGAGTTTTTTGCTCAGGATTCATCCCACTTGAGCCACAGCTCTACTTCCAGCTTTTTTGGAGGTTAATTGGAGATAAGAGTCTCCCAGACTTTCCTGCCCAGGTTGGCTTTGAACTATAATGCTCAGATCTCAGCTCCTAAGTTGTTAGAATTATAGCCATGAGTCACCAGTGCCTGGCATTATGGGCTTTTTGATTAAAGAACAGTGACCTCTATGAAATTATCTTATCATTATCTCTAAATTTGACTAAATCTCAGTATAATTTCTAGTATATGGAAAATGGTTTTGAGTTGGGATAAGCAAAAATCTACACTATAGGAAAGTGTAAGACAATTAATTTTTTGCTACCAAGGGAAACAAGAGACATGCATAGAAAATCTTGATTCAAAATACACAATTGTGGCATTGGGACCAGGATTTGTGTCCAGTGTGGAGGATGCAGCCGAGGGGGCTGAGGACAGTTGCCAAGGCTGGAGGTAATATCCTTTGAGGTCAATCTTCCTGTAAATAGACAAAGAAAAGTAAGTTGGTAGCTTTTCCACAGAACCCCAAAACTTCTTTAAAACTTAGTCTGGGCCCCTACTAGATAGTTAAGCTCCTTGGAGAGAGGACAGAGTGTACATTGTTATTTGATAAAACCCCAGACCCACCGGGCACCTGTGGCTCACGCCTATAATCTTAGCTACTCAGGAGGCTGAGATCTGAGGATCATGGTTCAAAGCCAGCCCAGGCAGGAAAGTGGCACTCTTATCTCCAATAAACCACCAGAAAAACCAGAAGTGGAGCTGTAGCTCAAGTGGTAGAGGGCTTGCCTTGAGCTGAAGAGCTGAGGGACAGCACCCAGGCCAAAGTTCAAGCTCCATGACCGACAAAAACAAAACAAAACAAAACAGGTCTTAGTATATTGTCTCATAAGCGCTCAATAAAAAGTGTTGAATATCCTCTTTCAAACTGGGTTAATTGCTTGTAGTGGAAAACTTATTCATTCCACTGGCTTCTTATTCTCTTCATCAAACCCATCCCTCCTCTAGTTCCCTTCCTCAGTCAGTGGGTAGACAGTACCATCGGATCTCTAAGCCAGCGGTCAGTGCATCATGCTCAGCATCTCCTCTTTTACTGCCTCCTTAGGGTGAGTCAATGCCAAATCATGCTGCTCTTGCTCACTTGCTACTATTTAATTTGTCCAATTCATTTCTCTACCTAGTTCAGGTAGTTCTTGTCTAGTTCAGGATATTCTCTCTCCCTTGAGGAACTGTAGCAGCCTTCAGTTGCTCACCCCATCCACCCTCAGGTCCCTGAACCCATCTTCCCTGTATAGCTAGAGAGGCCTTTGCTTATCTGACTACATCCCCTCTGGGCTCTGGGGAGAAGCTCAAGTTTCCTGGCACATCCTGCAGACAACTCTGTTGTGTCAACTGACTCATTAGACGGTCAGATCCTTGAAAACAGGTTTTATATTATTTCTTTTTAGAAATTACAAAAACTCAAATTATATGCTTAAGTTTGGAAACACGAACGATGGGTCAGGACCCAGCTGTGCCAGCAGCAGCCTTTGAGTAACTTGGGGCTACATTGACCTTGTGGTGTGAGGCCAGGCCCCTGGGGCTGCTTAGGCTCCTCGAGTTGGCCTTCCTTTGGATGCAAAATTAATTTAGTCTGGGATGAGTCACTGGCTATTTCTAGAAATTGCCATCTTTCTGTGGAGTGCTGTCTACTGACATTTGATACACTTGAGCCATGTGTCTGCTCAAGAAAGCCTGTGCAGGTCTATTTTAGTGAGCCCCTCCTCGGGAATTTATCTTCCAACTGAAAGAATAGTCCTGAAATTTTAGAGGGGGCCTAGCACATCAGCTGTGCCCTCGTATCAGCTTTCTTTTCCCCTCAATCATAATGAGACTTTTCAACATCCTCCACAGAGGAAAAGTGGAAAAGTGGTGAGCAGAACATGTCACATTGGTAGGTTTTATTTAGTGGTTTGTTTGAATAAACTACCAAATATCTCTGAATCTGTTTGGGTCATCTATGAACAAGGTTGAAGGTATCATGAGTATTAAATGAAGTGAGGTGTAGTATATTTGGGGGTTTTGCATTATCTTTTGTGAAGGCTTTTTGACTGCCTCATATTATTACTTTTTCACACTTTGTGTTGAAAAGTATTTAGGGAGCAATTAAAATATGTGCCAAGGGATGGCTGTTTGTTCATTCTTTTATTCATCTGTTGAGCACTGCACTCTGAGCAGCTTTTTGGCATGTGGCATAGGCAAAGGAGTTAAGGCCTTGCTTGTAGCCAGGCATTGGAGTTACTCAGGAGGCTAAGACCTGGAGGATCACAATTCAAAGCCAGCTAAGACACAAAAGTTCATGAAACTCCATTTCCAATTAACCAACAAAATGTTCTACTAGAGGCAAGGTTTGAGTGATAGAGAGCCAGACATGAGCAGGGAGTTAGAGCTCAAGTCTAAACATTCAAGCTCTGGTACTGACAGAGAAAAAATATTTAAAAAATATACCTTGTTTGTGCCTCTGGCTTGAAATAGCCCAGAGACCCAGAGACACACAACAGGAACACACTGTACTTAAAGAGCCACAAAAGAAGATGGAAGACACCATCTGAACCACAGTGTGCCTGCGGAGGCCTTTGGGAATAGTTCTGTCTACCCTGAGCTGGCTTTGCAGTTTCTTCCCTGCCTTGATACTCTCTCCCATTTGTGTTTACTTTTTAGCAGCCACTTTGGAGCTGAATGTGACTAGCAAGAAGATGGCCAAGGTCAATACCCAGTACTCCCAACCCTCCCTGGCTCACCTTACTGTAAAGAGCATGGACAGAGATCTCAACTGCATTGAGAATGGCCTCAGGTGAGATGCTAGTCACAGATTATTTCCATAGCCGACCTTGACCATGTAGGAAGAATGACTTAAAGGTATTGGACAGGGCCAGCTGGGTGCTGGTAGCTCATGTCTATAAACCTAGATACTCAAGAAGCTGAGATGTGCAGGATTGTAGCTCAAAGCTAATAAGGGCAAAAAAAAAAAAAAAGGTCAACAAGACTATATCTCCAAATTACTCAGTAAAATATCAGACAGAACTCTCAAGGGAGGGGCTGGGGGTTTAGCCCAGCGGAAGCGCGCCCGCCTGGCGCGCACAAGGCCGTGGGTTCGGTTCTCAGCCCTGGTTTAAAAAAAAAAAAAAAGAACTCAAGGGATAGCTAGCCATGAGTGAGACAGCAAAATGAGAGTGTGAAGTTCTGAAGCCATGTTACTAGACACAGGATGACCCATTGCAACAATGATACCCACAAGACACTATATTGGAAACTAACTTTACAACTTCGGGCAGGGGTGGGGGAGCGAAGGGATAGTGAGAGAACAGCAAGGGAAGAGGTTACAATGATTGACAAGAAATGTAGTCATTGCCTTACTCATGTAACTGTAACCCCTCAGTACAGCAACTTTACAATAAAATTAAATTAAAACAAGAAAAGTTGGGCATGGTGGTCAGTGCCTGCATAAATAGGAGTACTGAAATCCAGGATGGCCCAACCATCAACATAAGACCCTATTTGAAAAAAGAAGAAAAAAAAAAAACAAAGATAGGGAACTGGTACATTGCTCAGCTTTAACACAGGACAATGGCAACATACACATACAATGCTTTTAAGTTTCAAATTATTATTTTAGGAAGAGAAATGGCATTTGGGCAAAATTACATCTGTGTTTTAAAATTCCAGTCCTTTTGGAATGCTTTTAAGATAAAGAATTGAGACTTTGTATACTGAAGTATTAATGACTGTTGATCTTTAATTACATCAAGAAGATTGTTAGAGGCATATGGTTGAAATGGTAGAACACCTGCCTAGCACATTTCTGTCCCCTGAGACATTCCTGCCCTTAGGTCTTTCACCAAAGCATCAAAGTGGAGGCCCAGTTTCCTGATTCTCTTTATTGAGTTATTAGAGTTATTTTTCCTAGTGGAAAGCCATTTTTAAAAGGGTGAAAATGCTTCCTTTGAATGAACAAATAATTACATTCTGAAATTCCAGGGGAAAAAATGTTACGGAGGTTTTCGTGTCTTCTTAGTTCTATTTGGTTCAATTCTCTAGGAACCATATGGCATATTTTTGAGGATAATTCAACAGAGAAAGACTAAAAAATATGCTCTGAGAATTGCAGTGAGAACCAAAGGCACCCTGAATCCTGACCTACCTCTTGGTATAGCTATTTTGAGCAAGCTTTGCAGCTTCTACAGAAAAGAGGCTTTCTTTGTGCTACTCCCTGAGTATAGCCCAAAGCAATTATCACCAGAGAAAGCCATTTTCAACGGGCTTCTCCAGGACCAAAGACTTAAAATGCTTTGGCTTCAGTTCCAGGTCACATGTGGCCAATGGCAGTAGATTCCAATCATTCAAGATCCTTGGGGCTTGAGAAGAGGAAGAGAATGAGGTGTCATCTTCTCCAGTCTTGTGCCAAGAGGTCACTTATGTCTATTCCCATGTCCCCAAAGTCACTAAAGGAAAATACCAGTTGTTCCACAAAGGAGAAAGTTAGTTACCAGTCAAGTTCTCATGATAAACTCTGTCCTTGCCCAATGGCAGAGGACAAAGGAAACCTGTACCTCACCAGCACTAGTTCCTTTCTGCAAATAAGCATAGAGGTTGAACATGACAAGTTTCAACTCCTCCCCTCTTTGAAAGCAATTGCTTCATTGTGTTGCAGTAGTTGCTTTTGCTCTTATCTTTGCCAACTTCTGGGAGCCTTTTCCTTCCCAGGTGTCATCACCAGAGTATGCAACATTACTGGATGATAGGAGTATTTCAGCTCCATTATAATCTGATAGGATTACTGTGAGATATATCTATATCTATACCTATACCTATATCTATCTATCTATTTATCTATCTATCTATCTATCTATGGTTCCTTGTGGACTGGAATGTGGGGTGCATGACTACAATTAGGTTTACAGTGTATATAAGTCCTAGTATTTGCCAAGACTCTGGAGCTAAAAGGAAGACATTAATCTGGCAGAATCAAGAAAGCTAGGCCTTGGTGGTCTATATAATTCTAGCTACTCAGAAGCCTGAGATCTAAGATCACAGTATGAAGCCAAGCCAAGAAAAGTCTGTGAGATTTTTATCTCAACCACCAAAAAGACAGTAGAGGTGTGAGCACTAGATGAGTGAAAAAGCCAAGTAAGAGCTCAAGGCCCTGAGTCGAAGCCTGGACTAAAATAAAAAAGATACAAGCAGAGAGATGCATTGGGAAGAAAAGGTTTCATTGGCCCTTTGAATATATGCCAGAGAAAGTTCTCTCTGTTCTTTGGGGCTAAGTGTGCCTTTCCAGGAGTCAGTGTTTGAGCAGTGTTTAAAGCAACATCAAATTGCCAACTTTTGCTTCCTCTTTTCTATGACACTTCAATTCAAAGAGAACAGGCGACCGATGTGCAGAACATCCAGTCACCAGGAGCTTCTGCAACTCAAGTCTACAAACCTGCTGGTTTCCATGGGGTTGCTTTGGATGAGAGTGGGAGAGTGGGCTCTACCATCTTCACCTGCCCACCACGCCTGATGTCATAAGCACTGAGTTCTTTGTCACAGATGCAGATAAATCTGGTCTCATGGTGTGCTTTCCTGCAACAAAAAGAAGCCAGATTAACTGCTCATGCAGCTGCTCAGATCCAGAGATTCACTTATCCCCCAGTAACTGAGTACCTCTTGGGAGGTACATCTACAGAACATCAGAGAGGTAAAGAACTATAGAATCGAAACTGCAGCAGGGTCTTTATGTAGATGGATGAGATGTGAGTGGCCACATATGGTAGAGGAGGAGATCCCAGCCAGATGGGTTGGAAATAAAGCGCCATACCATGTAGTTCAGCAAGATGGATCAGTGTAATGTCCTTAGTGGCATGCCCCATTCCTCAGCCATGTCCCATTTTCATCTGGGCTTTATGGGAAAATAGTAAGGGCAGCTTCATGGAGGATGAGAACAGGTTTGGGAATTGAATGGAATGACACTGTAATGCCAGTTTTGCTGTTTGGCCCTTGTGATCTCAAATAAGTACTTAACCTTCCTAGACTTCCACTTCCTCTAGGAAAGGGTTGCTGTGTGGATTCAATGGTAGAATGCTTGTAGCTGATAACCTGTAGACTATTAATGAACAATATGTGGTTTGAATATTGTACCTGTGAGTGAAATGGTGTTGGGAGGAAAGGCAAGTTGAGTTCTCTGCATGTCAGTACTCAATTCTCAAAATCAAGTGCTTGTGCTCAAGTTAGAGCCATCCCTTCAGCAGTAGCCTAGGTTTTGACTGATGGCTGCTGGTGACCACCAAACACTACCAAAAACATACAAACCAATCTTGGCTTGTAATTGGTAATGTCAAGATGGTCTCAGTGATGTACAAGACACTATGTTGAAAATGAACCTTTACAACTTCGGGGCCTGGGGAGGAGTTGGGGAGGTGGGGAAAGAAGGAATGGTAAGGGAAAAACAAAGGAGGGGGTAACAATGCTCGATAGGAAAGATACTCATTACCTCACTCATGTAACTATAACCCCTCTGTATGGTATCTTTACAATAAAAATATATATTAAGAAAAGATGGTCTCAGTCTCTCTGCCCAGCCAAGCTAGACCTGAGATATATGGTTACAGGAAAACGGCTATGGTGGGAGGAAAATGTGAGCCCAGGGGCAGCTGATGCTGTACAGGTCCCTGTCAGTGAAGATGAAGCCGTCTGATGCTGTTTCCAGCATAAAAAGTAGCCTGGCCTGGGGACAAGGAGGAAAGAAGGTGCATGCTGGCAGTCAGGGCTTTTAAAGATGGCCTAGATAGGTCCTGGCATGGAAGTGAGCTCCCCGGTGCTAGAGAGAAGGGGCGGGGGGGGGGGGGGGGGGGGGGGGGGGGGGGGGAGGGGGATGGCCACAGCACAGCTCAGCACCTGGGATTCAAAGAGCCTGACTTCTAATCACTCCAGGGAGAGACTGCAGCTTCTCCCTGATGTTAATTCTTGCCTCCCCCTTCAACCACCTTGTTAAGAAAGCCGATTAGATTGGAATGGGCCCTGTGATAGAATTAATTTGCCTTGCCAGGGCTCCACAAGACTTGTAGAATGAAGAGCAAATCTCCAGAGCCCAGTGCCTGACTGGCTTTTAATCAGGCTGATCAAATGTAGTCTTAGGAGGTTTTAAAAGAAAGGAAAACATAGACAAACCCATTCCTGGTTTTTATTCCTGAAAGCTCAAGGCTTTGCTGCTGATGTGACAGGTTGGTGTTCCTACAGAGGGGCATCCTGTGGTGTCTGCGCAGGGCTTTCAACACTGAATTACACAAGTGTGTCATTGCCCCTAACCTCTGTATTGCAGGGGCAGAGACTAAGGTTTGGCAAAAAGAAAACTGGATTGGGGGCTGGGAAGTTGGCTCAATGGTAGAGCGCTTGCCTCGCATGCATGAGGCCCTGGGTTCGATTCCTCAACACCACATAAGCAGAAAAAGCTGGAAGTGGCTCTGTGGCTCAAGTGGTAGGGTGCCAGCCTTGAGCTGAAGAGCTGAGGGACAGCGCCCAGGCCCAGAGTTCAAGCTCCATAACCAACAAAAATAAATAAATAAATAAATAAAACTGGATTCGCTTTTGAAAGCATCATACAAGCTGTACTGTGTTTAGAGGATGCCAAGTCCAGGCAATTATCTGGGTCTTGCCAGATCCTTACAGTTACAGATGGCTGCCAGGCAAGCATGCACATAGCTGCCAGGG